CATGATTCTTGACCCGCTCTCTCTCGGAGGCACTTCAAGACAGCTTCTCTGTCGATCTCTTCTTCTCCGTTCTGTGTCGGACCCTGCAGAAATTTTGATCGCTTTAGACAACCTTGTAATGAGAACAGAAACAACCAAGATCGGTGACAAGAACTCCGACAATCATCTTTCGGGCAATCTTGATTTGCTCCATTTGCGAGAATATGAATGCTCCAACGTAAATGTATATTCTTCAGTGATCGGTATTCTAACCTTGAAATCGAACGGAACATTTACTTGGGTGGAGAGGCAACCACAGCCATCGCTATAGTTAACGTTCAAGAATATTTCAAACGTTTCAGATCGTGTCGTTCTCCTGACGATAAGATACAACGAGAACGAGAAAAAATGATTCAGAAAAAAAACGGCCATAAGACAAAAAATTTGCAAGAGAACGAGTTCACGAAAGGGTACCTTTTCACTACAAATGGCTGCTTGTCTAAAACCGCAGCTTTGTACTTCTGACTATCAGAGAACGAAACCTGAAAAGCATATTTTTATTACATCGAAAGTTAGAAGTATAATCATAGATAGAGATGATTATTATTATTACCTCGATAGATTTGATGAATGGCAATGGACAATTCAATCCATGAACACTTGCAACACGTAGTGTCCAGTTAATGTATTTCTGATCTGTAACAGGAATGGAAAACCCAAGTGATTTTGTCAAATCCCTGTTGCAGAAAAACAATGGAAGACAGAACTATGAGATGAGACAAAAACAGAGGTTTGAGATAAGGACACCTGCACTTAAGGACTGATTAAGGATCGTCTGGAAAAAATCAATTCTCGCATATGGAGGAATCTGCATGTTAAGCATCTCCATTACCCCCGCAACCACCTGATTCAACAGGACAGCTGAAATTATCGGTAAAAAGATTTCGATCATCTGAACAAACAGATTTCTTTAGCTGCCCAGCTCGTGATTTTGTTGCACTAATCATCGTCGGATATACCTTATCGACAAGTCCATGAATTACCAAACTTGCTTTCTTGTCTTTTGGAGTTTTCTGCAAAAGGAGAATATAGTTCGTGAATCAGCAGGTTTTATGACCGAAGACATTAAAAGAATCAAGAATGTAAAAAGAAGACTGAAAATATATGAGATTGGCCTTTGTCCTTAGATTATACAATATTAACTAGTTCACTCTTCCAATAGTTACGTATAGGAAAGGGCGATTAAAAGAGATAGTTACCTGAAGATTGACGATCACGATCTTGCCTCCACCTCTGAGACATTTGAGAGGCAAATTGCAGGCAGGAGTTATCTGCAAACTGCATGAAAAGGGGTTAAGTTTACAAAATAAAACCGAGCTTTCAACCAAAACGAGGATTTCAGAAGATAAAAATTAGCTTATAAGAACATGAATCTTAAAAAAAACACGATGTAGCAACAAGCGGCATTTAGCTGGTCAATTAAACTTGAACCCATGCTTGATAAGAGAGAAAACCTTCTTCAAGAATTACTTTAATTGAAGGAGCTATGGCTTAGCCCAATTACAAGCATGTCAAATTCATGAAGGAGAGGGGATTTACTGAGTCAAATATGACAAAAACAAAAACGTTAAGATAACACATATGCTGCTTCTGTGTTGCAAGTGATTTACCTGGTCCCTAAACAGAGAACAAGATCAGCCATTTTGCAGTGTTTCTCAGCAGGGTTCATCTCCTTTTCAGGCAAAGCATCCTGCCATATGAAGAAGGTAGCTTTAGACATAACAAGATCAGTGATGTACCCTTTTTAAGGGTTCAACAATCGAAAACTCCACCCATGATAAGACATCCTCCTGTTCAACAACGGCATAACATTATCCATTTAAAGATACCCGGACGTCTAAAAATGAAATTTAACTCAGCAGCTCCAAAACGCATAGCCTATAGTTTACCAATCTCTTAGCTAGTGCTGAAAAGCTTGGTACTCAGCCGTAAAGAGGAAAATACAAAAAGTAAAACTAGATTCGATGACCATAAAGCTGATTCCAAGGCTGAGCATAAGTTGTTAGAAAAAGAGAGAAATGCACCTCCCAATCTAGGACAGTATCTACAAGTTTAGCTCCGCACTTTTCATTTGAACATCTTCTTGATGTCTCCTTCAATCCAATAGTTTCCACCTCAAAATCACGAAGATACCTTAAACAAATCCACAAGATCTTTACAAACTTATGGTCCAACGGAGAACTATAATTTTCGCAATAAGGGATCATAGTATCAGAGGAAGGCAAACATATAAACTACGACTTACTCGGCTCCACATGATGGGCACATATCCATAAAGGAATCTCCATGCAACTCAGCTAACTTTTCTCTGGGTATTCCAGATCGAAGATGTAGCCCATCCACATTCTAGCATTCACAATGAATGCTTGAGATTTTTAACATCGGAAAAAAGATATGTCACAGTCACTAGGTTAAGAGTGGAATGTTGTGTAAGGTAAATGGATTACCTGGCTGATGAGAAATTTTAAGATACCAGCTCTTTCTAGTTCAACCAACGCCATGTGGGTCATGCTTGGCATTGCACGATGAAACGGTAAAGATGCTTTCGGTAATGCTTTGCCCTCACGCTGAAAAAATCAATAGAAAGATCCAGGAAATAATATAGTCATGCAATCCCATGAAACGAAATCAACACAGCAACGATGTAAATTCTTGGCACCTTAAAATTGGCAAACTCGGCCGATTAAAGTCAGGTTAAAGAATAAAAGACCACATTCAGGTGAAAGAACAAAGGATAATAGACATTAAACATCCAAATCTCCTACCTGTAATGTCCAAATTCCTTTGGGACCTCGAAAATCGGGTATACCACATGACGTTGAAATGCCTGCACCTGTAAAGACTACTAGATGCTTACTCTGCAAAGATAAACCAGCTCCTTAAAGCGGCTGAAATAACAGACGGGAAAAGATCTACGAGAAAACTGCTGAGCATAAAGAAGCCGAACGTTCAAACCTTTTGAATCATCTTAGCAAGTTGTTCAATCTGCCATTCCAGGAAAAAAAATCAAACAAATACCAAAGTCAGTGGAATGAATGAGCCAGATAACAACCACCAAAGCAAGATTTTGGGGGGTTCTTCGTTCTACGGGTAAGGAAGTTCAAATAAAGACAGGGGTTTCGTCCTAAAAGATCTCACCATATAACATGTTCCATACACAAGCATTATCAGATAAAGTAGTTCATGAACACCAAAGAGAGACTTCTGGTGTGTGTTCGTAAAGATGCTTTGTGTTCATATTTTGGATCAGCTCAGAAAACAAAACTTTGTACAATTCCAACTTGAGACACATCCTTACAACCCATAAAGGATCGATCCTTAAACCAATTCATCATGAACTGCTTGTCATTACTCGATTTCACACTCTGATTAACCCCAAAACAAGCCGCAAACTAGACAAAATATATCCAAACCATATGAACTGATCATGCTGCTACCCATCTCTAATTTTATGCAAAACCCTCTCCACCAAACAAAAAGAAACCAACTTTAAGGCGTATTCTTAACCGGAGATCTCATCAAACAAAATCACAGATACGAAATGCACAGTGTTCTCGATCGAATTCAAGCAGATTTGGGAGCAAAGCAAGCAGACATTCCGGCGAGCAAACCTAACAAACATCAGACAGATCAATCGCATGGAATCCAACAAAAAAAAAAAAGTAAACCCACGAAAACCCAGAAACTGAAAAAAAAAAGAGGAGATTTAAAAAAAAATCCCCCAAACACCTTGTACTGTAGAACATGAGACGAGTCGAAGAATTCAGCCATGCCCACTTGACCAACATCTTCAATGTAAGAAAGCTTCTCTGCGTAACCTAGCGACATGGAGTTCCGGTCCTTCTCCGGACAAGTCTCTCCCTTTCGATGTAAAAAGAGAAGGGACCTGTTCTTATTTTCTCTTCTTCTTCTTCTTCTGGGTCCTTTCCCTTTTCCTTGGGTCCTGAACAAAAAAAAAAGGGCAACTTTTATATTTAGCAGTGCAACCACTTGGATCGGATGAAAATCGAAGTTAACCGATCTGAATTCACTTGAGCACCATTCCGGTTGAGAAGATAATACCAATTTGATCATAGGTTATATATATATATATAGATATATAAGAGAATTAGCATGTAAAGTTTTGTTCTTTTTTTATAAGATACGTGAATTTTCAGAGCCTCAAAACACTTTGTATATGAAAATTTTTGTTGGGAAATGGGCTTTCGCATCCCATCAGTTTTGTATTAGGCTTTTAAATTAACAAAATACTATTTTTGGTATTATATAATTATCGGTCATTTAAGACCCTCCCACTTTTTGACTTCTGTGCTCTGTTGTTTCATGTTTTTAGCCAAACCCTTTATTTTCCAATTAAAAATCAAATATATATTGCGATATCCTAGCACCGAAAACACAAATCATTTAAATCACAAAAATCCGAATGCTCTAAACCAAAATAGTTTAAATCACTGAAATTCCTAAACCGAAATCCCTAAAATCAAAATCAAATCGAAATCGTGAAATCATATGGCTACGTGTAAAATTGTAATACATTTTGCGATTTAGAGTGAGATTTTAGAAATTTTTGAATTTTTGTATAAATTTTTATGAAATTAAAATGAGTAACAGGTAGACCATATACCATATGTTACAGATAACAGAAATTTACATAATATTTTTTTACTGTCATAAATTCTCTTTACAATTTATTATTTTCTCATATTCTAAATTCTTTTTTTTTTCCCCATGGTCGGCGTTTCAGATTTTGAATATAAGTTGCTGTTGTAAATGGGATTTTGCGTCACTACCCACCCAAGGCGGCGTAATTCTCCCGCCATGATGACCATCCCACTTTAACCGCCCTCCCTCTTCCTCCTCCTTTGAAAGCCTCGATCTTTTCAGATTGCGAAGAAACCCTAATTTCCCCGAAAGGTATGCTTCTTCTCCTGCCGTGATTCCGTATGGTACGGCGTGTTGATTTCCGCGTCTCTTGCATTTGATGGTGTGCGTCCATGGCCGGATCGAATCTCTTACAAATTTGTCTGGATTTTGAAATTGTTTCACTGTTTAATCTCGTAGTGGATGATGATGATATCGCCTAGTGTTTCCGGTGTAAATCTTCATTGGTTTTTCCAGAAAACGAATCAACAATGTTTTGAGATTTTCCAAGGATTGAGAATTGCAGCTATGAGCAAGGCAGCTTTCATAGCTCAGTTGGTTAGAGCACCCGTTTAGTAAGCGGGAGGTCTTGAGTTCGACTCTCAATGAAAGCAATTACCATCTTTTTGCTTTCAGAATCTTAGATATGATCCCTGACTGTTTTTTTTTTTAACGTTTTAAGACATTGCTTTGTGTTTAGACAGAGGTTATGTCGGAACAAGAGTGTCCTCCTGCTTCAGTTAGATCCACAATGGCGATGAATGGAGCTTGTGAAAACGGACAACACGCTCTTGATATCCTTCCCTCGGTGGATGATGATCACAGAGGTGTGGTCGTGGAGATTAAGACACAGATGGATCCCGAGTGTTTTGTCACGGCGCTTAGATCTTCGATAGCTCAGTGGCGGCTTCAGGTCCGGCCCGATATTGATCCTTTTTTCTTAAAATGCTCTGCTCGGAGTTTCAGAAAGTCATCTGCTTTACTTCGGATTTCGCCGGAATATGATTTTTCAGGGTAAAAAGGGTGTTTGGGTGAAATTGCCCATTGCAAATGCAAACCTCGTGGAACCTGCAGTTAAGGTGATGAATTATCAGATATATCCCGACAAAATATCAGAGATTTGTATATATATCTGATAGAAGAGTTGGTTAAGACAACTAGAGGGTTCTTCTTGTACAACTAGAGAAAGCTGTTTCAGAATCTTGTGTCTGGTTGTGGTGGCCAACAGATTGATTTTATTCAGTTTTTTTTGGTGGATAATGATGTTGCAGGAGGGTTTCCGGTATCATCATGCTGAGCCGTCCTACCTGATGCTCGTTTACTGGATTCCGAAAACTGCTAGTACCATCCCGGCAAACGCTTCTCATCGTATTGGTGTCGGCGCTGTTGTCTTGAACAATAAAAAAGAGGTATTCATTGTTCTGCACTTAAGTCTATAGCCTACCATATATATTATCTTCAGAGAAAAGCTTTTCCTGTATCTTGTTGTTTTTTGGATTGAACCGAGGAGCAGATTCTCGTAGTCCAGGAAAAAAGTGGTCCTTTACGAGGATCGGGTGTCTGGAAAATCCCGACAGGAGTCGTCGACGAGGTATCTCTCTCTGGCACTCGTTGTTTGAACACGTTTCAGTCTCATGCTAAGAAAAACACCCAAAATGTAATGTTTGCCCATAGAGGTTAACCCGCTCGTTTGCAAACAGGGCGAGGAGATCTTTGCAGCAGCCGTCAGAGAAGTAAAAGAAGAAACAGGCGTAAGCTACTTTCATATCTCACTGTACATATACATATACATATCTGACTGTCTATTTTTCTCTTCAGATCGAGACGGAGTTCCAGGAGATTCTTGCTTTCAGGTACTAATGTCACATTTTCTGCTTCTCTGTTTCTGGTTAACGAGATCTATCGCCGGTAACCTTTTCACGATGAAAACGTATTATCGTACATACATACGTAGACGCATACATACAGGCATGGATTCTTTTCGTGTTATAATAGTTGTATCTACAGGCAAACACATGCAACATTCTTTGCCAAGTCGGATTTGTTCTTCCTCTGCTTGTCAAAGCCCATCACCTTCGATATCCAGAAGCAGGACCTAGAGATCGCTGCAGCTCAGGTACATACATACATACATACATATACATATATATGGATGCCTTCCCGGCTTTCAAGACTTTTTTGTGTGTGTGTGACGAGCTTTTTTGCCATTTTCTTGAACGAAGTGGATGCCCTTCGAGGAATACGCGACCCAACCCATCACACAGAAGAGCGAGCTCTTCAACTTCGTACAGAAGATATGCTCGGAGAAGATGGAAAACGGATACAGCGGCTTCTCTCCACGCCCCATCCGGTCTTTCTTCGACAACAAGTCTGGTTTCGCCTATTCTTCCGGCAAACTTGAACTCTGACAAAGCCCAGTTCTCGAAACAACGAAAGGTCATTTATTTGAACCTCTCTTATATGCCCGCCTTTACCATTTATACACGTTCTTGTTCGTCCTTTTCCCCTCTCTCTTTTCCGTAGAGTCTCTGTCTCAGAAGAACAGCCACTTCTTCAAAAACCGATTCTTGGGGAAATAACAAAACAGGTTCAGATCATTACCGCGTCTCTGTTGTTTACATTGTTCAAACCTTAAAAAACAGTTGATTATGGGTTTTTTTTACAGCCTTTAGTATTATTATCCTACATGGTCGGTTTTTTTTCTTTGTCGTGTTTGTTGGCTATGAATTTGTCCTCTTATATGTATGTATATGTATGCATTTTTAAGACCCATTGACATGTGTTATGCCATGCGGCAACTACTCCGGGGGAAACAAAAGCCATAGGAGAGATCCCCCCACACTTATCATAAATTGAATCTAAACCCATCTTCATACCCATTCTCTCTGTTCATTGCAAAAAAAAAAAGCATGTCTCCTCCTCGATACTTGACTGTCTTTGTTATTGCCCTTTTGTTATTACCCTCTCTCAACCTGGCATGGGACAAGGACAGTGCTTGTCCTTACCCATGTAATCCGCCGCCGTCCGGATACCCTCTGTACGGTACTCCTCCTCCGCCGCCGCCGCCGCCTTCCGGTTTCCCGCTGTATCTACCGCCACCGCCTTCTCCGATCTCCCAACCGCCACCCCCTCGCTGCTCTCCGATTCCTGCAGAGTGTTGCCGCCAACCTCCTCCTCCTCCTCCTCCGCCGCCGTACCCTTACACTTTTCCTAGTCCGCCGTACCCTTACGCCTTTCCTCCGCCGGGAAATATCGGCGGCGGGGGGG